TCTCTCCAGTTTCGAGACAAGGAAGATGCAGATAGATCATTTCACTCATCCTAACATTCAGCAGCTGTTTAACAACACGTAATAATCTGGTTGTGAGCTCAGGAGGGGAAAAAAAACAACGAAGGGTAACATCCTACTGATGGAAACTAGATTTTAGAGAGGAATTTAGAAAGGCAGATGCAGCAGTTTGCAAAGCAGGGTGCAAAGGAGGGGGCCTCCATCAAATTCGTACCAGTTTAAGTCTTGGGCACGGCAGCGGTGTGCCGCAGGGCACTTTCCCCAGCGGATGCTGGAGCAGCTGCACCTTGCCACAGCAGAAATTTCGATGTGGATGCCGCTTCGGGTGGCGGATGCAGCCTCCATGTCCCGGGTTGCACAAGTGCCATGGGTAAAGACCCGTCTGCAGCCTTCCGTGTTCCAGGGAGCACCGGTACTTCCGGGAGGCTCCCAGCCCATCAGTTAAAGTGTTGGTGACATTGAAGCTGCCAGGCCTCCCTTCTTGTCACTGGGCTGTCGCTGACTTTTAAGAGTGTGGGCTGACTGTCACACTGAAGCCCTGTCAATAGGGGCACATGGTATTACCATTGAACTAAAATGTCCTGTACCCTGCAGTTTTTAGTCTGATCAAATCAGGTAACAAGTTGCAGTCTTTTGCTGGTTGAAGCAAATTATAATCACAGTTTACGTGGTCCCCACATGGCTTCACCATCCCTGGAGAACTGTTGTGTACTGTCTGGGCATCTGAGAAAGCAGATGCTTTTTTAGATGGATCTCTGTGTCGCAGAGGTGGTTCTGTACAGTCTCTGCAGGTCAGGACTGGGTGACTTGGGAAGAGAGTGCTGCCGTGTTTGTGCTAAGGGCAGAAGGTACCAGTGCACAAAGATGTCTTGGCAGGCGGATCCCTTCAGAGAGGGATTAAAAACGGGTCCGAGGGTCACTGCCTTGGCACTCTGGAGATGGGGTTTGCGACCAGGAGGGTCCCTTGGCAGGCAGGAGAAGCCAACAAGGTACATTGTCTTGCCAGTAGATACAGTTACTGAGCCCAAGCTAAGAGCTCCTGCTAATGGAAGGGTTCGTTAGCTCCGTCGCTGCTGCCCAGGCAGGGCTGGGGGCTACCCCAAGCCTGAGGGCACCCCAGGGTGCATGTCCAGAGAGTGTGGCCTTCCCAGTTGATGGAGAGAGTGCTCCTTGATGTACCTGCAGCACTGATCAGCTCAAATCTCTAGTGCCAGCACAGTCATCCAGGCAAAACTGTCTCACGGGAGCAGCTGGTCCCACTGGGAGCAGAATAAGCCATCCAGGTAAAAATGCAGCTTTGCTTGTAAATACTTAGTCCATCATAAAAGTGCCTTATCAATGTAGCACTGATTACTAGTGCTAGTATGGTTAACTACTATTATAATACTATACTAGTCTTTATACTCTAATTATAAATTTGCCCTTTTATTAAAGACTTTAAATGGTGGAAAATAACGACTGCTGGAAAGCTGTTACAGGAGCTAATCATCCTCACCATTTAAACCTCCTTGTTATTTGAACTTCCACATTCCTTAGGCTTCTCTCAAGTAAGCCCCTGGAGATACTTTTACAAACAAGGTAAGAAATGTTCTGTCCTACAGCCTGCCAGTAAATAAAAAGGATCAGTCCCAGAGATAACAGTTGGGCATTTTTGATTGGCATGGCATGATCTTTAACAAGCAGGTCAAGGAAGCATCAGTGTTATTTTCTTTCTAAGCCTCAGATTCCCATTGGCCCAATTTTATTCAGCAATCTGGTGGCAAAACTGTTAGAGAGTATGAAACTTCTGGCCTCTTGCAGCTTTCCCAGCCCTGAAGGATCCCACTCCCAGCACATTTGACCCCTGCTCACCTACAGTAGGCTTCAGTCCAGGTGCCACTCTGATTCAAATTCAGTATTTATAGCTCCAGAGTTTTAATTGGCACTGTTTGACAGACGGTGTCCCTGCCTACAAATTTTCATGGTTTTTAAGTTAAGGTTTTTGGAGGGGCTGAAATGTAGGAAAAGGGAATTTTATCTTGGTTGTAGTTTGGGTAAAGCATCTGAAACAGCTTTTTAGAGTGGCAGTTTCACTGGAACATTTTAAACCAAAGCTCATACTCCGGATTTGTAAAACTGCAGCGTTTGCAGGTAGCATCAACGTTTGCTATAACAGACTAAGATTAAAGATACACGTCTCTGATTTTCTCCTTACACCTTTAATTGCACTGTACTTTTGACAGGATTTTGTACATAAACTCTTTAGCGATACAGCTCATCCTGCATCCATCCCATGTCTCCCTCCCCACCCCCTGCCTTACCTTTAGAAAAGTGCAGAAGGGAGAATTTAGGAAAATAATGACCTGTTTTATTATGTAACTACAGGAACGGGGAGGAGGGAAGGGAGAAAAGGACTCTAGATTAAGGGTTGATTGCTGAAATTATTTTAAGTACTTTTTAATTGGCAAGCTGTTGAGTCATTATCATCAATGAAGAGCGCATCAACAAGCAGTATCTACAGTGGTAAACATTTCAGTTGAGATACTGAGCTCCCAAGCTCTGTAACTATCATCCATATAGTGAAGAGCCTAAGTGGCTGGATGGTAAGAATGCATGGTGCAGGAAATACCGAGGAGGTGGGCTGGAGTTAAGTCTTTGTTGTCTTCTAGTTTTTTTCTCTGAAGAGGTTATGGAGGCAGGGCAGGAGATGCTTACTCAGCCTCCAGCTACCCTGCTTTGAGGGCTGTGCAGGCTGAGGTACTGATCTCTGTCTGAAGACCTTTTTCGTAGAGATGCAAGATGTACAGGTGAATCTCCAGGGCTTGCTTTGCTGTCAGTCCCTGTTAATGGGCTCTGGAGATCCTACGCAGTTCATAGTCCTCTCAGTTAATAGTGGGCACCTCTATTGCAGACCACATGTAAAACATCTTTGCATTCCCTTGATTCCAATTTATATTGTTTAAAGGCATGGGGGCGGAACAAGTTGTTAAAAGATGAAGAAATTGAAAGCTCCCCAGGCTGCTGTGTTATCCACCTGACATTCTCCAAATGCTAGTCATTAATTACTAATGCCTTGAAAATCAGAGCAGTTATCCGATTCAAATTGTGTTACATCTCTGAGCTACAGCATTTCCATTATCTTATCATTTCTCATTCAAACAATTCATCCTTCTCCATGGTTACTCAAGGCTCGCACCCCAGTCTGTTTCTTCTCATTTGGACCTGTTACCCATTCAAGGGTATTTCTACTCCATGTCTGCCCTGCCTTCAGGTTGGTGAAAATCGGTGTGGGTTTACAGCATACTTACTACTAATTTGACCCTCCAGCTCTCCCCAGAAGTACATGTGCACATCTGAAGGCAGAACGTGGCCAGTGTAAGCCATAACCTTCTTTTCCAGTTGGTGTTTGAGAAGGATTTAACCTGGTTTATGGCTCAGGCTGCCCTTGCAGTCCTCACACCTGCAGACCTCCCGGTGAACTGGGCAGGAGGGTTCACATTCGCTGTCACGCCAAGCCCCAGGGCCAAGCTCTCGACTGGAGTAATTCCCTTTAGTCACCAGAGACAACTTGTCCCCATGGTGGCAAGGCAGGGAATGTTCCTGGAGTCACTAGTAATGCTGGTTCCAGGTGAGTTGGGTGTTGAGAAACGATGCGGTTTATTTCCTGGCACATTTGTGCTTCACTTACGTGTATTTTCATGCCTGCCAGCACTCTGAAATCTAGACACCGAGTGTTGGGGGCAGGCTAGATGCAATTTTTCATGCTGCTGACATTAATTGGATGAACAGACCTTCTCAGAAGGGACAGTGTAGGAAATGTGTATGGAAAAATGACAAAATAAGGGTTTTCACAGCTAAATAAAGACAAGTGGCTGAAAATGGTTTTTACAGCTTTGGCTTTCATATGTTTCATTTGGGATTCTAAAATCGTTTTGCACACCAACTAACAAATTAAGATTCACAACACCTTTCTGAAGAAGATAATTGCTCCTGTCTTACAGATGGAGGAACAGAGGTATTGAGGCTATCATTTGAAAATATCTCCCCTGTTTTCAAGTCCCCAGACTGAGATACATTTAAGCCTAATTCTCAGAAGCATTAAATACCTCCATTTATATTCATTCATTTGGTATTGTTTGTGTCTAGTCTCTAAAATCAGACGAATTGCTTCCAAACTTCAATGGTCAAAATAACCAAAGTGACACAGCAAAGAACAACTCCAAGGTCAAACTGGGACTGGGAGTTGTGTCCCCTCGTGCCACATGCCCTTTTTACTCACAGAGTATCTGCCTTGAATTCCTGGACAAAAGGAAAAGCACATTCTGCTCTCTCAGTTTTCCTCTGCTCTCTTGAACAATTGGATGTTACAGTGACAATACTGTTCGGGGTTATTGATCGACTTTATAGAGTCACTTCACCTTGTCTTTCTAGCCATCAAGAAATTGTCTTCAGGATTTTGTGGTTAATTTTGTTACTGTAGAACTAGGATGGAAATGCAGTGAGAATCATTTGTATCACCTGGTTTTCCCCTGTTGTTTTGGTTTTTTTCAGCATACAACGGTTTTGCCCTTTGTATTAATCGAGATGAGAACAACACATCATCAGTATCCCAGCAGGAGCTGTGGACTGGCTGCAGTGTGCACCTTCGCTGTTGGCTATATTTTATGGTAAGGGCTGTGCACGCTGTGTTTTCATATTGTATTGGGGGTTTTTGTACTGCTAAATTTGGGCACATATTTCATTATGGATATAATCGCTAACAGATTCACGCTGCATGCCTCGTTTGGTCCCGGACCTGGGCTTTGTCTGGTTTCCCCCAGATGCTTATATTTTTAGAAAGTATATGCCAAACCTCACACAACAGGAATTTGTTGAACAATCCCATGTAAGCAGTGGTCTTTCCAAGGGTACATTTTTCAACCTTTTTTCAAGCTAAATGTTTTTCTTGGACCTTAGTTTTATTGCTTAGGGTTTTTGTTCTATCAAATAAAATTGAGAATAGGCAAATGATTTCCTGCATCAGTATTTAAGCAGCAACAGAAAAGATAGAGCACGGTCTTTTTTCTTTACTAGTTCCTAAATTCTTTCTGTAAAATTGATCACAGAGTAAGCCAGTAATCCAAACACCCTGAAGTTTGTTTTAAAAAATGAAAATGTTTGTGAAAAATAAACTAAAACAGAAACAACCTTTCTTACACAACATTAAGTCTTTGGGCAGTTTCTATTCAAGCACCTGACTAACATGGCAGAGTTTATTTGCTGTGGTTGTTCTAGCATTTTGTTTTTCACTAAACCTTTGTTTTATTTACAGTGCTCCTTTGATACCATATATCCTTTATCTTTTCTGCAAACATTTCATGACTGTCTCTTCCATATTCTTTCTTCTCACCTCACCACACCCTTCCCTCAGCTAAGAGAATATTTTCCAAAATTGTGGATAATACTGCTTTTTCCACCAATCAAGTGTGATAAAACTAATGAGAGAGAAACACGGGCTCAAGGCAGTACTGTCATACTGCTTCAACTACGCAACTTGTCCCCTCAGTCCCATGAAGGAGAGGCCATTATTCATACACATCCATGCACACTGAGTGATCATAACATGCTAGTAATCCAGCTGAAGTGGGATGTTGTGTCCCAGGACAACAGGCACATTCTGCCATTTGCTTTTATCAACATACATGTCCTCCTGACAGAAAAAGTAATTGTAATTGTAAGATAAGGACAGCCTCATGCAAAAAGGCATGTAATGATTTCTTCACGAGAAAGGAGTTGGGGTTTTTTTAACCCATATATAGTAAAGCTTAACTGTGATATTTCTCAACCTTCCTCTGAAGGGTGCCTAGAAACAGGTTGGCAGAGTTACTGTCCGTGTGATCTGAGCTCCTGTAACTCATGTTTTCTCAAAATCATCTGAGCAGGTACATGCAATAGTAATCAATAGCAATAGAAGATTGAAACAATCCAGTTCTGCAAGTGAAATAAACCCAGAAGTGTCTTAAAAACTTTCAAGAAGGTGTTACCATATCAGTGTGATTCTCATATGGTTTGATCCTGCCCACTACAGTGCATCTACATCCTACAGCTACAAGGTAAAAGGACAAGTAGAACAGGTAAAGCAGGGGAAGAACATTTTGCATTAAGAAATGAACTACTAAGCAGATACCCAGTTACAGCCTATGCTCAGCTCCCTTTGTTTTTGCTGTTTGTTGGATTTGCCTACACGTGCATTATTTCCAAAATAGATAGAGCTACTTTCAGGTCATTTGCTGTCTTCTAAGTTTTGATTTCTGTAAAGGTTGTCTGAGGCAATTGCTTATTCAGCCTAAAGGTCATTCTGCTAAATTCTGTACTTGCACGCCATTTCTTCTTCTGCTGTTATGAAGGAAGGTCTTTGGGGAAGACTGGAGGCAAACACAGGCTACACTCTGCCTTCATCTGCAAGTTCTGCATGTCTTCAGCCTACAGGTGTCACTGAGGCTCCTATCCAAGATTTGGTTGAGGCTGCCACGTCTTGGCTTGATGATATTAATAGGATGTATCTGACATTCACAGGTTGGGAAGATCTATCAGAAAGTATGAAAAAAATGTTTTTCCCCATCTGTCTCACTCAGAGTGTGTGTACCTTTCACAGATGAGGTGCACTATCTTCCAGCTGCTAAGTGACCACATTGAAGTGGAGACCTTAATCACTTAGAGGGTTTGCAATTACTTAATTCGCTGCCCTTGTTGGTGTACCCTTTAGACCCCTCAAGATTAGCACAGTGAGTTAAAATGAGACTCCACCTGCAAATGACCTAGTTACATACAGCCTGGTGGAACTTCCTTCCTTTGTACCTTTGGTTGTCCATGGGTCCCCTGCTGGGGCTTAATTCTTGGTTTATGGTTTTTTACCTAGAAGTCAGGGATCTTGCTGCTTGAGAATTTGTCCTTCTCCATACACCATTTTCCCTCAGCAGAAGTGTTTTCACTGCAACTTTCTCAGAATAAAGTGGAGTCAGCTGCTCGTCAGATGCTCTGTATGTTTTGCCCTTGAATTTTGAACAATCTCCTCACCTCAACTGAAACCTTCTTACCAGGCTACGTGATACATGTAGCACGTCACAATTTGTACTGTACAGGAGAATGTTGGTTAGGTTTGATTCTGTTAATGCATGTTCTTCAGCTCCAAGTAGAGGAGAGCTTCTGTTTTATTTCGTATGTGACTGAATCTTTCACGTGTGGAAGAGATGGTGGAGTAGCAAGGTTTTATTATATATATTTGATAAATGAGAAAACAGGCAAACAGTTCTGAATAGAATCACTGGAGCTGGAAGAGCATAGCTAAATAACTTAATATCCCCTGAGCATTATTCAGAGACATTTTCTGAGAAGCATCCTTTCTTGAAGAGTAAAAGCTTTTCTGTTTTTCTTTTCCATGGTTTTTTTTTTTTTTTTTGCATTCTCTCCCTTCAGTCAGAGCGCATTTGAGTAGGCACACGTAGCTCATGCACTCCCTGTGAGGGGGAGTTCTCCTTTGCTCTTAAGGAACTGTGCCCAGGCAGAGCATTCACAGGCTTGCGTTGCCTGTCTCAGACCGTACATGGACTTTTGGGATCAAGGCCATGGGATAAGACGGGAAAGACTGATTGACTTTATTTAGCATGCCTTGAAAGGGTCACAATTTGTATTGAATTGTTAAATCTAGACAGTGCTAAGAAAACCCAAGAGCTTGCCAGTACTACCAGAAAATACTGCCAATGGGTGTATGGAGCTGGTTGTCAAGGAACAGAAAAGAGCCAGAAATGTGTTGCTCCTTGTAATAAGAATGACCTCATGGTAACTAATATCAGAGCCTAATATGGCCCTAAAATAAACTGAGACAAATACGTTTATTTAAAATGGTTTTCTTGTTCCTTCTGCTATTGAGTGCTTGAGGATGCAAAAAAAACAGACCCTAAGAACCCAACTGCACTGCTCTGGTCGTGCTGGGCTACTTGTTTGGGATCAAAAGACTTGATCTGCTCTCTAGTTGGTATTTCAAATCGACTGGGAACTGCCTCCATATGTGCCAAGCTTGGGCTTGATTCATTCTTTCAATACTTGATAAATCTATTTGAAGAGCTCATTTACCTTTAAGCTTTCATTTGAAAACAAAGTTTCTCTGGAAGTGACTTTAGCAGAGTTCTGTATATTTGCTGAGGGAGAGCATTTAGATGGGGCAACCTGCTGAATTCTTCTTGAATGAATTTAAGGAAGGAATATACACTGAGAATTTGGAATGAATTTGAGATGGATGCTGTCAGCCTTGCTGTAGGATTTCCACTAGCAATTCTCCATAGAAGGAGAGGAAGATCAGGAAGAGCAGATGTTGGCAAAGGGATAAGGGTGCAGACTGCTAGGACAAACGTCGGGCTTTCAGAAGAAAGGGCTGGAGAGTTAGAGCATGAAGCTTGGTGGGAATTGACAGCCATATCGATAAAGAAAGGCAGGATTGAGAAGCAAGGATTTCTGTGGTTGCTGGTGCCCACGGAGCAGAAGAGACACAGCATGGCTGTGTTAGGGTGTGCTGAGGGTCTGTAGGTCAAGAGGGGGTCATGAGTGCTTATGGAAGTGACCACTGGGGACAGAGGTTCAGTAGAGCTGTGGGGAAAAAAAAAATGAAGTGAAAAGTCGTTGAGGCAAGTAAAAGAGATGAACTAGAACCATGGGTTAAAAAAGAAATTTGTATGGAAATGTGTAGCTCACAGGTCAGCAGCTTGGAAGCTGAAATCATGCAAGTAAGTGGGAAAAGCTGGGAGGGGGAGAGAGACAGGCTTTGAAATCAGAGTAGAAGGCTGACGGAGAGGTGGGTGATAGATGAGACAATGCAGAGGAGGGGAAAAGAGCTGGAGCCAGAGCTACTCAGAACAGGAAAGAGTAGGAAGAAGTAGAAGCAGCAGAAATAGGGCAGGAGAAGATTAGCGTCCCCTGTACCTGACCCAGAAGGAGGGTGGGAGAGCAGAAGTGCTTTCAGCAAGAGAAGGCTGCATGGATCCTCAGCCTGTTCGGTCTGACATAGCCATTAAGGACTGTTACATTCTGGCTCCCCTCCACCTCCACATCCTCAAATGTTTCAGTCAAAGCAACAGTACAATCACAGATGACATGCATGGATAATACATTCTCACTTGCTTGTGCAGCTCCTTAAAATATAGCTGAAGAAGGCATAGCAACCATTACTATATTTAAAATGAAACATTATTTATAAAAATAGATGACTTCCAAAGATGACAACACTTTGCAGCGAATCTGCAGAGTTTCTGTCATTCTAGCTACCTGTACCTAAACACAAATCTCTGCTAAGCTTTGTTCATCCCAGAGGATGCCAGCATCAAGGCATGCTGAGTAAATTTTGCATATGACATTACTTGCACCTGCAGCTTTCCAAGACTTGTCTTCTGACTTCATAAGACACTCCATACCAGTGGCACAGTCCTATGACCACGTATTGTTCTGTGCCACTCAGATCAATGGAGAAGAATCCAGCGTAAGAAATGGGAACAATAGGGGATGATTGCTGTTGTTTCCTAACTGGTGACTGTTTATTGAACTTATAGTCTTTAAAATTTCTAAACAATATTCAGTCTCGGTGTAGGTGACTTAGGCCTGGCTGGCTGGTATGAGAAGAAGCCCAGCATCTTAATGTGACTAAGATCTTAACAATTGGGATTAGATGCAGAACAAGCTGTCCTATGAGTATTTTTTTCTGGGGGGAAGGAAAAAAATCATAAAGATTTATGGAAACGTGCCTGACATCAGTCAGTATTAGACACCAAAAGTAGAACAGATTTAGTGTGGGTCATTTTGCTCCTGCCTCTGAAAGCACAGGGTTGGTCGCTACTTTATAACCACAAATGATTTGTTCGTTCAGGTTTTGAGTGACTCAGCTGCTGTCTCCTTTGGGAGACATTCCACAATTTAATAGTTCTGGGTAAAGTTCTCACTTTCTGTGGAAAAGGAGGAGAGTGATGCTAGGAAAGATCAAGAAATAAAAGCACAGAAGATGCCCATGTTCTGTTGTTTGGTGAAGAGTAGCTACAATGGGAACTGGCCTAGGATTTGTTTGGGACCAAAGGTTCAGCCTTCCTTTCCGCCACTCAGTGGAAACCTGAACAGCACAGAAGATGTGGGAGAGGATTTGCTGCCGCAGCAAGTAACCAGAAAGGAACTGCTGTAGTTGATAAGAGTAGTCATGTGTCTGGGCTAGACACATTAGTTGTAGCTAATGTCAGATGCTTCAGGGGAAGATTTAGCAGGCCTTTTTGGAATAACCAGCCTGTAAGGAGAGTTTTCTTCCAAAATGTATGTCAAAAAGTAGATGCTTAGATTCTTCAGACTTGATGGTTTATATATCTTGTGCTCTTTGAATTTAAGCTTAGCTGTGCATCCTCCTATTGCTTGTACAGTCTCCTGACTTCAGAAGCTTGCTGGAGTTGCATGATATGGCCAAGAGGAGTGGACTACGTAGACTTCCAAACGTGTAGACTTCAAAACGTGTTTGAATACCTCGATTTCGTGCTGTATCACTGAAAGGTAGGGTAGTGCATTCCAGAGGTTAATTAGAAAGATATTTCCCTCATCAGATCTGAATTTCTTGTCTCTGAGTTGTGTTGAAGTGCTTGTTCTGTTATGAGGAAGAGCACTGGAAGCTCTTCAGCCGTTTGATGACATGCCTTATTGTACTGCGTCCTCATGTTCGCTGCTCTTGAAAAGTTACGCAGCCCCTCATCTGATCGTTCCTGTTTCCAGAACACGTAGTACCGAGTGCCGTTTGGCTGCGGAAGTCACTGAAGGACTCAGCTGGGGCAGGAAGTGGCTAGAGGCTCCGGGAGTTCAGACCACAACGTGCTTCCTAGCGGTGAGGCCTGTGTGAGCATATTCAGACTCCTCTAGCTGAGGGCGGCCATTGTGAAGAACCCGCCATTTTCTGCATGTCTCCCATCGCTAAATCCTTCGGGTGCCATGGTTTTCTGTTACTATATCTCTGTGTTGAGCTTGCTTCTACCAGGGCTAAGTTTTACACATGCTGTTGTAACAGCTGCATTACTCGAAGCGACAGGTGGAGCACCACAAGGTTCCGACAAATTTTGTCATTAATTTTCCTCATTAACAGAACATTTATAGCCAAAGAATAAATGTGCATGTATCTTCTCTGCATAGTTTTCATTTTCCCCTACTTACTTTGATATGCAACATCTACTGTATACTAGAAGTGAAAAACAGCTATGAAGTCAAATTTTTGACAGATTTTTTTTGAAAAGAAGCAATACTGTGCATTTTCAAATAGCTTTTTATGATTTCTTCACCAGCTGGTTGAAAATTTCTGAAAATCACCACTTTTTTTAACAGCCATTTTAATTTGAATACAATGTGTGAATATTTCCATTCTGTCTTTTCTTACCGGTTCTAACACGTGGCTAAATGAGCTCGATGACCTGTAACACATTCATCTTGGAAAACATGCTGGCTTCTGTCTACATGGGCTGACACAGAACCAAAACACAAGGAGCTTCAAGTTAATTTTGTCTTCCCAAAAGTAGCCAGTCCAGTTTTAGCTTAAACTTTTTCTCTTCAGTTTATTTTTGATCTAAATGACCCATTTTTTATACCTGTTCAATAACAGGGTCTTAATTTGGATCTAGATTTGCACTCCTAAGTAAATCTTAATGCATGCTCCCCTGTGCCTACCTAATAATGAAGTTGGACAGGAATAATGACTACTTGACTTGCAGTGGTGAAGGCATTCATTAACACTGGTAATCAGCGATCTTGTGTGGAAGCTTTATGCCAGTGGTTGATCAGGCCTTTATTGTGCAGCATAGAGATACCTTGTATTCAAGCAGGAACAAACCCGCTGAGAAAGGCCATCAGGTGAGGTTTCCATGGCAGCAGTCATCCCTTTGCTGCTCCTGTTTGTGGTACAGACCGTGCAGGAGTAGTCAGTGTGTCACTGCTCAGCGGAGAGGAGGCTAATGTTACTCCATCCCGGTGTAGCAAGCGGCGTGGTGTAGCTCATTTTAAGGAAGCTCAGAGCAGCTACTCAGATAGGTTTGTGATCGCTGTCTACCGAGTGGTGCTTGGTACCTGTTGTGCTCAAAGCATGAGTTCCTGTGGTGTGGCTGCAGTGGGGATGGGCGTGCAATGGCTACGCTGAACTCATGAGCAGTGTCACTGAGCAGTGAATGGGCTCCCATGCTGGGCAGAGTGTATGAGCTGTACTCAAAGGCTGAACTAACCAGAGATGGCTGACATTCGGGAGCTCATCAGTGACTCATTAGTTGGATTTAGAAAATATTTCCTCTTTCCAGCATAAATGCATTCTAGTAAATGCCACTTCTCCTTGGTTGGTGAAGTTGGCTATGTAGGTGCAGTTTAGAAGGTCCCTTGAGAAGTCCCTCTGTAAAGGTGCTTCATAGTGCTGGGCAGTTTCATCACACCAGAGAAAATAAGTGAAAAATAAGCACTGGCTGGTTTTCAAGCTTTTTCCTTGGAGCTTGTTTTTCACAGAATGATCATAAAAGCAAATGAAACTGAAAAACGTTAGGCAATAATAGGCACTCCCTGCTGTGTCTGGGAGTAGAGGACAGCCCATTAGCTTCTACTCAACTGTCCCATCTTTGACCAAGAGAAACATGGTATCCCCTGTTACCACGGGTTACACAGGAGCTCTTTGGTTTTTTTATAGATACCTTTATCTTGTCAGGTTATTTCTGGCACAGAAGAAAGTTGTGGAATATAACTGTAAAGTAGATTATTTTCCATATGTGAACTCATTCAGAGAAAGGGGTTTTTATCTGCATTTAGATTGTGCAGATTAATTTACTGACACATGTAAATTCCTACATGAAGTGTCCAAGTGTTACGGGTTTGGCTGTGATCAAAGCTTTTCTAAGGAGGAGGGAAGCCATGACAACCAATGTACATTTCCAGGGTGATAGAGAACTGTTTAACAGGGGTTCAGTACTCTCTGTGTGACAGGCACTTACGGTAGCAGTTTTGGGTGGACTTCTGTGACTCTGCCCTGCAGGAGCCTGTGACTGTTGATGTAGTAATCAGAGGTCTTCCTTAAACAAAGAAGAGTATCATTAAGTGAAGCAAATCATACGGACATGGAAGCCCTCCATCAGTAATGGTCTGTGCAGCTGCTGAGTCTCCTCTAGCTGTGCTTTGCTGTGAGCTTCTCTCTCAAATTCCGGGGTCAGAAGGGAGGAGACATGCATTCCTGAAGAGAGCCCAGCAGCTCATGGGCCCCAGCCTGTCTCCACCGAGCACTTTTCCCTGTTAACCTTCCTGATGTTTGCTCAGTTGTTCGGCAGCGTTTGCCTTTCTTAGCTTCCACGTACTGGAACGTGTGGACTCACTCTGCTCTCTCAGACGTCACCCATCACTCACCACGTCAGATCTCAAACCAAAAACTTCAGAGGGTACAGGTCTGAAGTCGTCACTGCAGTCGTAGGCAGCAAAACCATGTACCCAGAGTGTTTCTTCAGGCTGCACTGCAGTACAGCTGGCACCCTGTCTCTGGGGTCAGTGTACCAGCAATCTCTGCTGCAGCTGTATGCTAAAAATGTCCACATCGCCAACAAACCACCATCATTCCTTTTCCTTCACTGATACTGAGCGTGGAGCTGGGCAGGATTTCACTGGTGATGTGGGGTTTTGTGGGGTTTTTTTGGTAAATGTTTACCCTATCTAGAGAAAAATTATTACATCCTATCCTAAATGATACCAGGTAACTGAAAATGATGAGCAAAACACAGGTGCTGAAGAAATCATTCTCTCAAAGAGGAGCTGAGGGTGACACTGCAGAAAGCTGGGCTGTGTAGGAGACCCTGGCGAACCCTGAATGCTCTTTGGATAAAGAACCTGCTTGGAACAGAGGGTGCTGCAGTATCCATGCTGCCGCATGAAACAGGTTTGTATTCCTCGTAAATATCAATGCAGCAAGGAAATACCTGCCTACATCAGAACAGGAAAATTGGCCAACTGTCCCTATTAAGTTAGAAACAAAGCAGTAAGAATCATGATGTCTGTGCTGGGTGGATGTCATCCAGATGCTCCGGTTCAGTTGCAGCTCGCAGTCCTTTCAAATAATTGCTTTCCAGGTTACAGTCGCTAAGGCTATAGCTCAAGCTACTTTTGAAAAACAAGGCTGTAAGAGTCAGTACTTGTTATTTTTGTTTTTTTTCAGGGTGTGCTGGATTCACCATATTACAGGAATGTGGGTGTACCCTCTTCTTGAGCACCTCAGCCCAGGTGTCAAAATAATCTTTTTTGCAGCTGTTACAGTAATAATTAACATATTCTACTTGGTGGGAGAGGTGCTGAACAACTACATCTGGGATACCCAAAAATGTGAGTATTAGGAATATTAACTCATGAAATACACTGTTGGGACTTGAGTATGCTCCTCTGAAAGTTGAGAAGTTTTTAAGCTGGCTGAAACAAAGGAGAATGGCAGAAGTTCCACTGAAACATCTTCTTGCTTGCTTAAAAGCAGCCAGATGAATGGAATGGCTGCTGAGGAGCATGATGAGCTATGAATATGTATTCTTTTTTATAACTTCCAATACTAATTTAAGAGCTGTTGGCAATTACCTGAGAGGCTTACAACCCACTTGGTTTACAACCCACTTATTAGCTGATGAACCCATTAAATGCAGCCAGAGTAAAGTATTCTGTGGGAATGATGTTAATGGCAAGGTTAGACTTAGAAATAAAAATATGTTATTTTAGTACTTTCAGGTATAAGGTGTTTTCTGCGTATAAATTTACTCAAGGAAAATGAGTATGTTCATGTCAGTAAAATAATAGGAATGAAAGATCACCTTAATGCAGGGTACACATAACTGTGCAGACCCTACATCATCTACCCTGTCTAGGCCACTTATTGCTGCGTGGAGGAAGAGGGAAAATAAGACAAACACAAGTTTAATAGTAGGTTCCTTTAATCTATGAAAGATGTTTTCATTTATCAAATTGCCTGAAATAAGCAAACAACATTCATAATCGCTGCAGTGGCAAATCAGAACTGGAGTGAAATCCATGCTTCGTGGGAATGCTGTCATTACGTTCGTTGATCCCATAACATGCTGGGGCCGTATCAACAGCCTGTATCCGCTTTTGGGAAACTTAGTGTGCACTGGTTAATTCACAGGGTAATCTATTGCACACACAATTAACAAATCCTAGGTAGGACCTAATGCCAGAAGCTCAAAGGAGTTTTACTTGCCCTTTGCTCATGTTAGCACCCTATAAAGTATCTTTTTGCTTTTACTCTAGCACCAGCAATCATTGGTCACAGTGTTCAAGTCTGGTTTGCAGTCTTCAGTTTGCATTCACATTCACATCTGTGTAACTTAAATAAGTTAATTCAGGAAAGAAGTTTGTAAAAAAGGTAGCCATTTGGAATAATCTCACTTGACCTAAGTCCTGTATGAAGAATAATAATGTGGTGAAGAATCATGTGTTCTTAACCAAGTCCATGAATAAGGGGATGGTGGAAAATCTCCCTCACTGTTCGACACATGCATAACAAAATCCCTGGTTCCCGTGGCCCTCCACCCTAGAGGAGCTAACGCCAAGCAGGTCATTCTTCTAACCCTTTCCAAGGTTCACCATGGCCTTACTACCCTCTCCATCACTTCCTTGATTTGGTTAAAGAAATATCGATCCAAAGTCCTATGTGGCTCAAGCACTTGCAAACCAGAAAATGACCTGAGTCACCTGCTGTTTTGCTGGGCTTGAAATTCTGCATAAGCCTAACCTGAAGCGTGTGGCAGGCACACCGCAAACAGCAGAGACGTAGAATGATGCTGGGCTGTCACCGTGCAAGACTTGGGAAAATATTATTTAAAAATTGTAAATTTAAAAGGGGCTTTTGAGCTCTAAGCTTGTAAATTAAAGCAGTCTGCCATGAGAAGATTTCTGGGGTGAGAGGGGGTTGTTTGGGTTGGGAGTTTTTTTCCTTTTCCTCTGGAGACGCATTAAATAAAACCTCACTACTGACAAAATGATTTGCAGTTAGTTTTTCCAAGTTAAACCACAAACATGGTAGGCAAAGAAAAATTTGCCCTTTGTACAAGCCAGTGTCCACAGTTTTGAGGGCGTCTGCCTTCCTGCCAAACTATTTGATGCATCTGCAGTAGAGCGCTTCAGAAGAAGAAAAAAAAAAATAAAACAGCTCATTTAAAACTATTGGAAAAGTTCCTTCCAGCAGAAAGCAGAAGACTCGAGGTTGGCTCTGGAGCGGCCTTGTAAACCCACTGTAATTTTTTGGACCCTGACTCTTGTTTTGGTTGTTAAACCTTCCACTGTGGCTCTTCCATTACACGGGTTTGCCAGCAACACCCAGTGCCATTGTACTTGGGCTCCTCGCAGCACGCAGGCCCATTTGTTTCCATGTTGCCGAGCGAGGCAGTGGAGCTATCTAACTGCAGGCAGGTGCTACTGTTTCCCAAACCGGAATTAATTAACTCTGTTTTTAAAGCAACTTTCCGTGTACCAACCATCTATGCGTGTATGGCATTAGTAGGTGATCTTACATGTGACTGGGTTTTCCTCTCAGCACTCTCAGACATTGCTCCTCTGCTGCCTTCGGCCCTCAGAAGTGTTTCTTTTCCAGCATGCAGCAGGCCTGAAAATCTCCAAAAGAAATATTTGTATTTGAGATGTCTGGCAGAGAGGGCTTAGTCAGAAGAACAATACTTTTGTCAGATACCAATAGTAACCCATTGTCCAGGAACAGGCATATGAAATAGCTGAACGTTTTCATTGCCAAAAAAAACACAATCTGCTGCCCGGCCCAGACTTTGCTCAGCATAGAAAAGAGACAAGTCCTGCAGCAAGGATAAGCTCTTTAAGGAGCCCCACACTCAGCTCGGCCCTCCTAATATTGCTGAAAGACATGGGCAGTACAAGGAGAGAGAGGCACCCTGTCAACAGTAATTGATTCTTCATTCTTGTACTCTTAAAAAGGGGAGATGGACTTGCAAATATTTACGAATATTTGGGTGTTAAATTTACTGAATTCTGAAACACAGTTTTTAATACTTGCTTTCAAGTGAAGCTGGCTGCTTAGCTTCAGCTATAATAACATCTACCTTAATTTGCTTGTAGGGAGGCAGAGGAGGCGAGGGAACTCACTGTTCCCAGACCCCTGCAGCAGTCAAAGGCTGAGCGTGCGGCAGGGGGTTCAGCTGATGTAACGGGGGTCTGGAGGGAAGGAGGGATGTGTGGTTCATTACCGGACATCCGCTGCCGTCAGGTGTGCAGATGCTCTTTTCCCTCACAGCAGGTGGGGTAACCCAGGCGAGAGCGTGTGAGAAAGCAGGGGAGAAGCAAACAGCAATAGAGAGGAAAGAAAGACTGATGCGTTAGAACCTCTCTACATAAACTCTTTCTATTCATTGAGAGATTTTTAAAAGCTGTTCTCCATATGTTTCCAGGTATTGAAGAAGGAAAAGAAAAGCCAAAATTGGACTAAACAATAGAAGCAACATAGAGGATTGTTTACGGCTCCGTGGAAGATTTCTCATCCCCAACAGAGGTTGGCATGGAGAGGAATCTTTTGGAAAGGAGGAAGTGTAGTGGGCCCTCTGCTCAGTTAAAGGATATTTTGGGGTTTTATATGGAGGGAAAATGATTTTAGCTAAGAATAATGTTTCAGCCTCCATTCCTGTTTCTCCATGCTTGCATGTGACACACACATATAAAATGTATATTTATCTCCACGGCATTCTCAATGTGTGTTTCGTGCATCAAATAAGTCATTAAATCATTAAGCCATTAAATCTTTTCACTTCCATCAAGAAGAACAATGAGTGCATTCTCTGTATTGTTTGAGGAAAACTTAACCAGATAAGTCTAATATGGGGAAACAAAGCAATCCTATATATTTCAAAGTACAGTGTAAAAATACAGTAGAGGTTAATTGCATGAATGTATTCGAAGAAGAATTCAATCTGACTGAAACTAATGTAACACTATGCCTTAAATCAGTGATGTTAGTAATTTTATCAGTCCAGTAAAATCTTATTTGCTGTGTTAGACTATCTGAATATGATGCAACTTTTCTGAAATTGGCCTAAATAAAGATCAAACTATCCCTACATTTCTGTTTCTTCATGCTGATTCTTGAAATTTTAGATTGATGGCGTTTGAATGATACGTTTTCAGATTTTCCAGTGTCAACTGTAGATATATTATTTCTACATGAGGATTTTTCTTCTTATTTTCCTAGCTGAAGGCCTGATCCTGCATTTTGAGTTGTAAGTTCTCAGTAGATGGGCTGAGAACGTTAGTGTTGTACCAGAGAGAGCATTTAAGCCTTACTTCAGGAAGGCACGTAAGCAAATGTTTAAACATATCCCTGTTTGTATTAGGAATGCAGTTGTAAAATACTAGTGATCGTTTAAGCTTGACAGGATTCTGATTAATTATCTGAAAATCAAAAAGGAACTGTAGTAGGCAGAAAAATTGTCTAAAATTAAAGTAAATGGAATAATTTTCAGGAAAAAATATTTGTAAAAAAGTAACTTTAAGATCAAAATGTTTTACTATTTACATCACATTTATTCATTAGTGTAATTAGATGCATTTATTTTAATACATGCAGAGCCCTTCAGAGATATGTAACGCTAACGTGTGATTTTTATTAAGGGGATTTCTGCAGAGTTTTAATATGATTTAACCATATTTCTTCTCTGGAGCAGTTTTGGGGACAACTGATCTCATGCAACTCATGACATGCCTCCACAGGTTTCTTTTTAAATGTACTTGTATTTTTGTACACACTATCATAGAAAACAGTGCACAAGTTCAACAGTGTGCTTTTTGGTTGGTTCCCTTCAAAAATAAGTCTTCTGTGGCAATACTGTCTTTGTGACTGTCTGTCCTCTCAACAATTTTTAATTTGTTGATCAGAGTTTTCAAAGATTTCAAAGTCAGGCAAGTTTCTAGGAAGTTCATGGGAGTTAAGGGGCCAGATAAAGAAGAAGGAGCTCCTCTGATGGTCCCACGGAGAGGGAGGACAGGACACACAGAACCAGCAGAATTTGGAAGCAAAGTAATGATAACTTGGACATGATTGTAATAGGTGGTGGTTATTTGAGGTGGTAAGATGCCTGCTACTTGCAGCAGGCTTTCAAAACTCAGGAAGGAAAGAAAACATGGATTAAGTCACATCTAGTGAGCTAGGAACTGTTTGAAGTCACTGCTTCTGAAAGCTGTGTCAGCACATGAAAGTACTGGTGGACAATGAACGTGCTAAGGAATTTGCTGTACTTTCCAAAGGCAGCATCAGCCACGGTGACAGACACGGCATTGTGAGAGATTATCAACTGTGGCTTAGGGTGGGAAGCCCAAAGCACAAACCCCGTTGGCTCGTTTGTCATTTGCAGAACGTGCATAACTCATACTCTGTTAAGTCGAGGACATTTTTGCAATTTCCATATTTCGCGGTGATTGTTTCCTTCACTGAATTCAAGAATTCATTCTGATGGAAAGAATGTGTTGAATCAAAATAAGAAATGCTAAAATGCAGCACAGCTGTACACATTTTGCTAGAGCACAGTCTCCACGTCTCTGCTGTATTTATTGCACCACTGAATGGCTGAGACCACAAAAACTGGCTATTGATGGGAAGGTACGTCTTTCTCCCTACGTTCTGCACCTGCTCAAGGTAAGTTTTTCCCCTAATGCCATGTTGGTTTAGGTGATACTGGAAATGTAGTAAGAATATAAAGAGAACAGAAACATCAGAGATCAGAATTGCATAGCTGAGACCATAGGTAGGTGTCCAAGTGAAAGACGTCTCCCTGTCAGATGTGCAGCACAGGGACACGTAAAATTGTCATCCCTCATGTCTGTGAATTTGTGAATATTCAGAACCTCAAAAAAAATAGACAACCAAGCTTAGATCGCAGTTAAGCCCTTGAGGTTTGCAATGTTAGCCAAAGGCAATGTATGTGACAGAAAACGTGGTGGGTTTCATTTGGTTTGAGGAAATTTATAGTACTCCAAGAAGGTTTAAGCTCAATTTGTCTTCTCAGATCTCAGAAAGTTCTCCACCTCCTTTGAGCTTTGAATCATCGTATTTAAAGTCAAAAACATTTTAGAGCATTAAATCCAGCCTATGATGTATGAACCATGATATAAATAACTTAGGGGCCTGTGTACCCAGAGAGTGCTCTTCTAGACTGTGTTCATTCCCTTTAGAATTACACAATCCATCATTCTTAAGAAAGATGATGGATGAATGATGACTAAAGTGAAAGTCACTTGTAAGCTTGCCAGATTTCAACCATCTTGGCTGAAATTGTCCCTGAAAGGTATTTCTCTTGGGGGAACTAATTTCTTGGTGGAAAACTTTTTGTCAGAACAAGTCATCTATTTCTACAAAAAAAAAAAAAAAAGCTGTCTGGAAAACTTTTGCTGTGGAGCTGGGTCTTTGGAAGAAGGATAGCGTTTATGTTAGTTACACTTCTGAATTTATGGGGAAAATCTATTAGTCTTTGTCCAGGTTTTATCAAAAATACGCCTGCACTTCCCTGTAGTGCACAGATAATTCTCCATAGTGTTTATTAACTTCAGGAATGGTCCATCATGTGGACGAACAGGATTTTCCCTACCGTCCCTGATCTGTTGACCTTCTCCAGGCTTGACTACCCAAGACACACACCAGGATGAGGACCCCAGCTTTGGTTGCCATGTGTTGTCAAAGCTGATGCAAATAAAGTTGCCTGGGCCAATTATGAAGGAAGCAAAGCTTTGATGAAAACCTGAGCAATGAGAATAGGTTCTGGATGGATAAACTAAATGAAAAAGACTAACTTTTCCCTTGAGACCTGCGGAAAAGTTAAATTAGTGATGTTTGTTGAGTATGTCATAGCTGTAATGATAAACCACATAGAAAATTCTGTGAAGGAATCATTAGTTTTGTTGTCAGAGAAGAATATAGCATGCAGTAAAACACGGCGTGCAGTAAATAAGGCAGGCTGCCACACCTTGAACCACAAGGAAGAAACAAAACACGGTTTCATCATTCAGTGAGCACCATCCATCATGTGTTATGAATGAGGCATAGGAAAAAATATTGTGTGATCATCTAATTAAAGGCAATATCATCATTCATACTCACAAGGGGCCAAATTAAGGTTGAACAGACAGCCTTAATTCTGACATTACCTCACTCTTGAAAGCCTGACTGTGCAATCTTAGTAATACTCTCTTGACTTAGTATAGAACGCAAAAAGGGGGGATTTTCTTTTTTTGAGACTGGTTAGAAAGTGTAGCCACAGAGTTGCCATAAATTTCAGTACAATTGTATCCGCTGTTTGGTTTTAGAAAGGTCATCCTCGCTTTTGGCATGAATTTAGCTACCCCAAAACATACATGCACAGTTCCCATAACACTCCATTACATAGGAGTTGGTATAAATTGTGAACTTTTGCCACAATTTCAAACAAATTATTTTAGTCGCTGATTTAGCTTGTGTGTGATATAAGCATAGTTTACTCTCTCTCTGTAGCAACCCTTGCCTTATTTTAAAGGAAAATGACAAATATTTTCCCTAATTTTAAATTGATTAGTTCCTTCTCTGCCCACATGAGTAATACTAGTTAAATTACCACCAGTGCACGTCAACGCCACTTGGACACTGAGTAGACTGAAAAATGGCTAACTGTTCTGTAGGCTCCCATGTGGCAGTTTGTAATGACAGTGTATAAGGCATACACTTCTTAGTTCATTTTTCCTGTGGAGTTTGCTGTTCAAAGACTGTATCAAATCCTAACAGTTTCTTCTTCGCCTTTTATTTTCTATAAAGATTGATCAGTCTGGTAGCCTTTGAAGACTCGGATACCATTAGTCTGAACACTGAAAGGATTTATAATCTATAACTTGAGTAGTCCTGAAGAGACCATTGCTGAGGTGTTCCTGCCGTGGGAGTAAAGGACCAAGCAGTAGGAGATGTGTAGGTGAGGTTGCCCCTGAATGCAGCCTTGGAGGAGTTATCCTACTAGGCCTGTCTTTTAATACTCCTGTGTTTCATCTGGATGGGTCAAGGGAGGTGATTCTCCCCTTCTGCTCTGCTCTGCTGAGACCCCACCTGCAGTGCTGCGTCCAGCCCTGCAGAAGGACATGACCCTGTTGGAGCGAGTCCAGAGGAGGCCACGAAGATGCTCAGAGGGCTGGAGCCCCTCTGCTATGGGGACAGGCTGCGAGAGTTGGGCTTGTTCAGCCTGGAGAAGAGAAGGCTCCAGGGAGACCTTATTGCAGCCTTCCAGTACCTGAAGGGGCTACAAGGAAGCTGGGGGGGACTTTTTACAAGGGCCTGTAGTGACAGGACAAGGGGTAATGGGTTTAAAATGAAAGTGGGGAGGTTTAGATTAGATACCAGGAAGAAATTCTTCACGGGTGAGGGACTGGAACAGGTTGCCCAGAGAAGCTGTGGATGCCCCATCCCTGGAAGTGTTCAAGGCCAGGCTGGATGAGGCTTTGAGCAACCTGGTCTAGTGGAAGGTGTCCCTGCCCATGGCAAGGGGGTTGGAACTAGATGGTCTTTAAGGTCCCTTCCAACCCAAACCGTTCCGTGATTCTGTGAATGTTGATGACAGGCATTTTCCATTTGCAGCAGCAATAGAAAGCTCCTGATCCAAGTGTAATGCATGCCAGAAGAAGAGGTCATCTCCACGAGGGTATCTCAGCAGCTCTGCTCTGCTCGCACAGTTCAAAGCTTCATGTACCACTGTAGCCAGGTCCTTAAACTGGGGTTGCAGGTGTTGCAGGGAAGTAAAGTAACCTTGGAGTTTTATTACATATTTTGACCATTCTATTTTGCCCAGCATGTTTGTACGCATTGTAAAAGTGCAGGTGTCTTCAACGTGTCTGACTGCAGAATTAAACCTGGAGGTTGACAACTGCAGAAGTCCCAGGAAAAGCAGTTGCAGGTTTGACGAGTCAACTCTCTACAGAGGTGATGGTCTCTCCTGTCTTTGAGACAAGGGGAAATTAA